AAAAAAAAAAAAAAAAAAAATCATAGATCATTTAATAAATAAAGAAACTAGTGAGAAGGGGTAGAATAACTTGAAACAGGAATCCATTAGAAATTTGTAATACATGCTAACAAAACTAGAAGGCAACGGACCTGATAAAAAAAATGAATGAAGATTCAGGAATTACAAACCAGAAACTAAATATAGAGAGAATTATAAATACTGAGAGCAGTAAAGTTTTTTTTTTTTATACAATAGTAACCAAGTAAAATAAGATTTTTATTAAAAATATAATGATAGATAAATAACATTTTAAAAAATAATATAATTATAGATATATAACATTTAAAGACTTTTAACAATGGACCAAGGTAAATTAGATAAATAATTTTATAGAGTTCAAATTTGAAACTGATGTCATGGGCTCACATAGGTTGACTTGAATTTCAAATGACAGAATCGGACTTTCATTAAGGATATATTCGTGACAACAATTTAAGCTAACCAGGTACGTGACCTTACTATCGACATGGTTATATTTGATGTTGACACGTGCTTGTGGTTTTGCACGTTTCATATATACTGATATGTGCGAATATTTGTGAATCAGTATGCTTATATTATGTTTATGTGATGTTATAATATGTGTATTGTATGATAATAATTATGGTACGATGTGTTCAAGGATATGTTTGAGATAGGATACGGAAGGATGCATAAAATGAAATGTAACCATAGAAGTAAGATACGTTCATGAAACGTTAAGGTTAGGTTACATACCAGAGTGCTATGGGTAGGGGAGATTGATGAAAGAATATGGTTAGGATATGGATAGAAAGGGATAGGTTTGTGATAGATTGAATGAACGATAGTGTTAGGATACGTTCCTGTGATGATATGACTAAGGTACGTTCACGTAACGATATGACTGTGATAGATATAAGAACGTTAAAGGCTATGATAAGTTAGGGAACGATATGACCACGAAGGTCCCTAAGGTTTACCACCATGACATTATACATACAAAAGTTTCATCCCCTCACCTTACCTCCATGACATTATATTCATCCCCTCACCTTACCTCCATGACATTATACATACAAAAGTTCCAACCCCTCACTGCATTACATAGCATAAGTTTCTATCATGATCTGTGTTTAATAATTAAGAGTTACACTGACCTCAGATGCCTAAAGTAAGGGCGGGAACGTTTCCAGAAGGGTCGAAACCTAGTAATCGGTATATTTTTTGTATACCAAGCTGTTAAGTAGAGCCGTCGAGCCAAGCCAAGCCGCGAAGCCAAAACACTGAGCCGATAAGCCGAGAAGGTCCCTGGTGGCGCACAACTCCTGGATGCAGGCTGGTATCATTTGTCTTGGGCTGGGATGGATACGCGGCCCAAAGTCAGTGTCTGACGCGGACTGCAAGACGCGGGCCGCAACAGTGGGCCGCACGTTGGCTAAGCGAGCTCGCGGGTACCCGAAGAACCCGACCTGCGACCCGCTGCTTTGTCTTCCTCACCCAAGAATCCCGATGAACCCTAATCGTAGAGTTCGACTGCCGTTGCCGATGAGACCACTGCCTTCCACTGTCTGTCCCGCATGTTACGAAGTACCCTGGCGTCGATTTTCTCTTACCTAAGGACTCACAGAAGTCTGAAGTCTTGCGACGTTTTCGATTCCTCACCTAAACCTTTTAGCTCCTTCCTCACAGGTACGATAGTGACTCAAAAGGAAAAGACGGCTACTAAGGTACCTAGGGTTTAATATGGTGACTCAAAGGATTAATATGCCCTTGTTGGCAAGGCATGCCTCTCTGGAAATCTCGCGATTTCTGGCGAGATTTAAGGCTTTTTTTTCCCCCCTTTTTGAAACCCTTATCGTTACACCTCATGCATTATGTGTGCTCATGCATTTGGGGGGATGCCCCTATTCCATCACAAGGGTACGGACGTGTACATCCAATGGCAGGACAACAATCGTTATGTTTTGAATAGCGTTGTCGTGACGGTTACTAGTTCTAACGAGTGTCCGGCCTAAGGAGCTCCCAAAGTATGCTCGCCTAACCAGAAAGGTGGCCCAGCAGTGTGCAAACTGATTGGTGAGTCCATACTCGCACATATGGGCTATGTGTAGAGTATATGGTACACGTCTAAATTACCCGTTAGGACGGTACCGTAGGAAAATAGATTGAAAGGATAGGTCCCGTCATTGCATTCACTTGTTCTTGCATTTAACCCCAATAGTGGGGTCAATTATTGAGTATTTCTTTAAATACTCAAGCCATGTGCTACTACATTTTTAGGTTAAGGCAAGACATTCATGTACGGCTGACGAAGACATCACAACTCGAGACCATGGCACATGCATAGGATAGTGATATTTATTTTCTTAGACTTGGGCTAGAATAGGATGTTTTTAACTTAAATGTTTATTTATTTTATTTAATATTTTGTTGTGTCGTTTTTTTTGTAAAGATGTTTTCAAAACAAGTAAGTCAATGGCTGTGATTTAAGATAAGGGTTACGTTTTATGGGATTTAAATGAATTTCCACATTCAATGTTTATGACATGTATACAGTCGCAACCTTAAATTCAGTAGAAAATTTTGGGTCGTTACATTCCTAGTGCTCTCAAACTAAGAAAGACTCAAAGAGTCAAAACAACAGAATAACCTGGAGCCCGCTTTAAGCTAACCATTTTTCATGATATTATGCATGGATCAGCTATATCATGGCGAATTCAGGAGAAGACTTAGTTTATGATTGGATCACAAAACTAGAAGGCAACGGACCTGATAAAAAAAATGAAGATTCAGGAATTACAAACAAAAAACTAAATATAGAGAGAATTATAAATACTGAGAGCAGTAAAGTTTTTTTTATATACAATAGTAACCAAGTAAAATAAGATTTTTATTAAAAATATAATGATAGATATATAACATTTTAAAAAATAATATAATTACAGATATATAACAATTAAAGACTTTTAACAATGGACCAAGGTAAATTAGAGAAATAATTTTATAGAATTCAAACTTGAAACTGATATCATGCGCTCACATCGGTTGACTTGGATTTCAAAGGACAGAACCGAACTTTCATTAAGGATATATTCACGATAACAACTTAAGCTAACCAGGTAAGTGACCTTACTATCGACATGGTTATATCTAATGTTGACACGTGTCTGTGGTTCTGCACATATCATATATACTGATATGTGCGAATATCTGTGAATCGGTATGCTTATATTATGTTTATGTTATGTTATAATATGTGTATTGTATGATAATAATTATGGTACGATGTATTCAAG